GTATAACTATGCGGCTGTAGTTGCAAATCTGAAAAACAAGTTAAACGATTTTAGCCTATTATGTGGCGATCTGGGCTTCAGTTTCAATCCTAGCAAATCTGTGATTATGAACATGGGAAGGGAAGGTGGAAGGTCTCTGAACATAGAAGTTAAAAATGTTCTAATACCAGTGAAAAAAGCTTTTTATTTCTAGGCAGGCTTATAAGTTCTAACATGTCTAACATACCAGTCATATAAAAATGGTAAAAGAAGTAACTAGGAAAAGTAGTAAGCTTATACAATTAGCGACAACTATCAAGTCGGGACTGAAACCTAAGACTAGCGTTAATATCTTCAAATCGTTTATAAGAAGCAAGCAAGAATATGCAATTACCAGCTTCTCTGACATGGGAGTTGGGTCCAATAAAGACATGGAAATTGCACAGGCAGGAGTGCTGCGAAGATGTGTAGGTTTGCCTCCTGATACAAGCAAGCACGAAATCTTTGTGTTGGCGGGAATAATGCCTCCAAGTTTCAGGGCTTAGTGGCTTACAGCCAAAGAACTTTTCAAGGTCAAGAAGCTGAATCCCAGGATGTTCGAAAGCATAAGACTATCAAAAGCAAAGACGAGTTACACTTGTACCTTAGAAGAATTTAAAACTTTCTTCGACAATTCACAAAGCTGTGATAATTATAAACACTGTAAAAAGATTAATGTAAGAGAAAAAGAAATGACAAAGAACAAAGAAGAATACTCGAGGGAGGAAATCAGAGCCAGATTCTCTGAAATCTTGGAAAAATATTCAAAAGAAGTCTGGAATATTCTGTCCACAGATGCATCGGTCATGCAGGACAGGTGTGGTATAGGAATTGTAGAGTTACCCAGTGGAAATATATATAAATATAGAACAGTAACTAGGCTTTCATCTGTAGGGGCCGAACTGATAGGCCTTAAAAAAGCGAGTGAGATATGTGCCAATAATGGATACAAGAAAGCTGTTATTTGTTGTGATGGTCTAGGAGCGATAAAACTAGTAAACAATAAACAAACAGACTCATACATAGTAAAAGACATTCACAATATTATCGACACATCAGGCATGGAAAAACTGGATATTCTATGGATTCCAGGGCACAAAGGGGTAACGATAAACGAAAAGGCTGATATGGCAGCAAAAGACGCCATACGAGAAGGGGAAACCATTTACATTCAATTTAGTGTGAAAGAAGCCTTAAGAGAAATTAAAAACTCCTTAGAACACAAGTGGAACGAGGAGTATAAACAAAAATGTAGTAACAAGTAACAAATCTTTCCAAACATACCCAAAAAACCATGGCACTATAATTTAAAATGGAATGCAAAAAGCATAAAGACAATAAACAGACTGATGACAGGACACACGTACGATAAAGCCTTTCTATACAAAATTAAAGCGATTGATTCGGATATCTGTGAGTCATGTAATGTCACAGAACCCGCTGAACATCTGCTTTTTAAATGCCAAAGATTCGTCCGTCTTAGGGGTAAGTATCGAATTTTTAAATATTATAAGGATCTTAATGAACTCTTGATCAAAAAAGAGCCACTCCACCTCAGAGAACTGGCACAGTTTATAAAAAGCGCTAATATAGACTTTTAAGCATTTTGTGATAAATCATTTTAGATTAAACGAGAAGGAACGTGTGAGTCGTTTCTGGGGACACGACTCTACTTATACCCGTACTCAGTCAGTATATACATACACTTTTGAGCTTATGATTTTTTAGAATTTTAGAAAAAAAAAAAAAAATTTTACATTTTTTTGCTACATATGCTATCTACATCTACATATAAAATGTCTATTATACATCTAACATGTAGATTGTACATGTTCCATTCATATTCTACATCTCCTCCGCTAGGGGTTGCTCGCGCACTGAACGCGGCAGAGTGTGCGAGCGAGAAGGAAAATGAGTTGCGTTGTCGATTGTTGGAGGAGGGGGAGGGGAAGCAACTGAAAATTAATTTCTTCATTCTGGCTATAATTATGATCCGATCTGATTCAGATTCGGCAGTCTGGTAGATATGGTCATTCTCTACGATACTGCGTTTTTAGTTTTATCGTTTCTTTAAAATTGTGCCTGCCACAGATTTTCGTCCTTTGTGGCGGCGGAGGGGAAGGAGGCGGGGCGAAATTTTGAAATACACTTGTAGCAGTGTGATATCACATGAGTCTGGAAACCAAATTTGGTTGCCCTAGCTCTTATAGTCTCTGAGATCTAGGCGCTCAACAAGACAGACAGACAGACAGACAGACAGACAGACGGACAGACGGACAGACAGACATGGCTATATCGACTCGGCTATTGATGCTGATCAAGAATATATATACTTTATGGGGTCGGAAACGTTTCCTTCTCTGCGTTACACACATCCACTTTTACCACAAATCTAATATACCCCTTAACTCTTTTTTGAGTACGGGTATAAAAAGTATAGGGAAATGACTTTTAACGCCTGTTAAGCTCGCTGACAGGAAGTCTGTGCAGGCCACAAGGGGAGGCCTGTTTAAAAAAAAAAACATATATATATTTAAATAAATTACAAAAAAGATACAATTTTTACAAACAAGTTTTAAACAAAACATTCGGAGGTTTTACACTCTTCGATCTGTTTGTCAAACTCTCAAGATCTCACTAAACACATATTTCTGGAGACACACCTTGGGCCCATCAAGCGTCCGAACCTGAATAATCGGACAAAAAGTCACACACCAGTACCTGATCAATGTGGCACCACAGCTGCGATCAAATCCCTGTCATCCATGCGATGATTTAATAAAAAAAAAAATAAAAAATAATGGAACCATTTTTCGGTATAAACAGAGATGGTGTAAGCGTTGGTTGCATATGAAATATATATATACATTCAAACAAGACAAGTCGAAGTAGAAACATCCGGTTCTGGCTCAGGGTTTGACTTGCCCCAAAAAAACAAAATAAAGTACCTAAAGTACCTTCGCTGTGGACCTACGCTGAAATGGTCGTGGCTATGGCACAGGAGCACGGTACCGATCTGGGGCTGGGAGCAATTGTTCTGTTCTCGATGATATTATGGTATTATTATGATATTATTTTAATTATGGTGCTTACGCCCAAGAAAGCTCAGCGTGCCGCTCCTCCTGCTTAGCCGGAAGTCAACCACGGACCGATGGCTGATGAACAACGAGAGCCTCCCCAACTCCTCCTCTTTTCTCCTGCTAGATTAGGTTAAGGAACTTATCATTTAATCATCTGTCAGTGTGGCGATTGACGCCACATTCTCGTTATCCTTTTTATGCTCACCGCCCTTCTGCTTGGCATATGCCGCACTCAAAAGGATCATGACCGCCTTATGTGGTACATTGGCCTGCTTGTACTTCTTAAACTTATCCTTTACAAACTTAGCAAAGCCCTTGGCCTCGCCCGCCGGCTTCGACTCGGTATTGCCAAACTTGTTCTTTTTGTTCAGCAGCAGAACGACGGGGCCGCGACATATGGACAGCGGAGATTCTCCACCTTGCGAGATCTGGAGTGAGAGCTGCAAGAGGTGTGAAGAGTGAGGGGAGTGTGGGGTAAGGAGACAACAACCAGAGAATAAACCACAAAAAACTTACTCAAGATTGCAGCTCTCACATTTGTGCGTGTACTTATAATCAATGCTGTTGCTGTGGCAGACAGTGATGGCGGGCAGCTCTGGATACTTTTTGTTGGCGCAAAGGGCCCAGTTCTTCCACCCTCGTTGTTGAGCACCCAGGTGGCGGTATGGCACAGCTCGTGGATGAGCGTACATCGGAGTCTGTCAGCTGAGGTCAGCACCTCTTCGCTGAGCTCGATCGTGCTGATGCGTTTGGCGAGCTTACACTAGAAGAGGAAACGAAATAAACGATTAGAGGAAGTTCGTTGATTATGTGTGGTGGGACACGAACTTTCTCTTATTCAGGCATCGTCCAGCCGTGTTGCGCAGCCGCTTCGACCATGTGATTGTCACGTCCAGCTCATTGTTGAACACGTCCGCATTGAACATCTTATAGAGTCGCTCGGCCAGCTGTTCCTTGTTCTTGGCAGAGTTCTCCCGATAGAAGAGGGCCTCCTTGTCGCTGCACTCGCGGCTGACCTCTCCCCCCAGCGATTTTAGGAAACTGCATTTGCCCTCGATCCTCTTTGGTAGCTCTTTTAATTTCCTGGAGATCGCTTTGGGGGGTGCGGTTTGTGGTGCCAACAGCTTCAGAATGGGGCTGGCCTTGGGCGTTACATGGGTGTTCACCTCTTGCAGGCGCTTGTAGACGGGCGTGCCCGGTAGATAGTCGTTCTCCAGTTCTTCCAGCATATCCAGTTCACGGGCTCTACTCACAATCGCATCCGTCTCCTTTTCGTCCTCGTAGCCAATGTTTGGCTTGAACAGCCGTCGTCGTGTTGTAGCTTGGACTGTAGATGTTGCGGTGGCGGATTTGGTTCCGGTTGCGGTTGCGGATTCGATGTCAGCGGTTGCTTCTATTGGCGTTGCAGGGAGCCTGGCTTTCGTACCAGTCACTGGCTGTGTGAGTGTGTGTGTGTGGGCAGAGTAAACTACAAATAATTTGATTTACGAGACGATGAAAACTATTTGTTTTCAATCAATCCCCGTAACTGACGTGTTCGGGGATGTTATCGATATATAGTTTTTGATGATATATATTTTTGGAAACAAAAATATAGACATATATGTGGGGATATACCATCGACGTAACTACTTTTCCGATTTCGAAGTTGACACTATTTTTCTTTTGTCTCATTTCGTTGGATCGGATGCACCCGAGACTTTTGATTCTACTTGTCGGATGTCCATACAAAATATCGGTACTTTTGTGCGATAGGCAAAACGAAATCGACGGTAACACATCTGTATATTCAAATAAGACAGCATTCTGTTTTTTATTGTTTTGAAATCTGAACCCAAAAACTACGAGTAATGATATTATTAGTATACAGTATTTAGAAGATCGTTTAGACACACGCATGTATGCATATAGACACAAGTATAGATATATTTTGATAATGGAATCATTTTTCGGTATAAACAGAGATGGTGTAAGCGTTGGTTGCATATGAAAAATTGGTTTCCTTTTACAATTGTTTTAATATGATATATATATATACATTCAAACAAGACAAGTCGAAGTAGAAACATCCGGTTCTGGCTCAGGGTTTGACTTGCCCCAAAAAAACAAAATAAAGTACCTAAAGTACCTTCGCTGTGGACCTACGCTGAAATGGTCGTGGCTATGGCACAGGAGCACCGTACCGCTCTGGGGCTGGGAGCAATTGTTCTGTTCTCGATCCTTATTTTGATTATGGTGCTTACGCCCAAGAAAGCTCAGCGTGCCGCTCCTCCTGCTTAGCCGGAAGTCAACCACGGACCGATGGCTGATGAACAACGAGAGCCTCCTCAACTCCTCCTCTAGTCTCCTGCTAGATTAGGTTAAGGAACTAATCATCTAATCATCTAATGTCAGTGTGGCGATTGACGCCACATTCTCGTTATCCTTTTTATGCTCACCGCCCTTCTGCTTGGCATATGCCGCACTCAAAAGGCTCATGACCGCCTTATGTGGTACATTGGCCTGCTTGTACTTCTTAAACTTATCCTTTACAAACTTAGCAAAGCCCTTGGCCTCGCCCGCCGGCTTCGACTCGGTATTGCCAAACTTGTCCTTTTTGTTCAGCAGCAGAACGACGGGGCCGCGACATATGCGACAGCGGAGATTCTCCACCTTGCGAGATCTGGAGTGATAGCTGCAAGAGGTGTGAAGAGTGAGGGGAGTGTGGGGTAAGGAGACAACAACCAGAGAATAAACCACAAAAAACTTACTCAAGATTGCAGCTCTCACATTTGTGCGTGTACTTATAATCAATGCTGTAGCTGTGGCAGACAGTGATGGCGGGCAGCTCTGGATACTTTTTGTTGGCGCAAAGGGCCCAGTTCTTCCACACACGGCCGTGTCCACCCTCGTTGTTGAGCACCCAGGTGGCGGCATGGCACAGCTCGTGGATGAGCGTACATCGGAGTCTGTCAGCTGTGGTCAGCACCTCTTCGCTGAGCTCGATCGTGCTGATGCGTTTCGCGAGTTTACACTAGAAGAGGAAACGAAATAAACGATTAGAGGAAGTTCGTTGATTATGTGTGGTGGGACACGAACTTTCTCTTATTCAGGCATCGTCCAGCCGTGTTGCGCAGCCGCTTCGACCATGTGATTGTCACGTCCAGCTCATTGTTGAACACGTCCGCATTGAACATCTTATAGAGTCGCTCGGCCAGCTGTTCCTTGTTCTTGGCAGAGTTCTCCCGATAGAAGAGGGCCTCCTTGTCGCTGCACTCGCGGCTGACCTCTCCCCCCAGCGATTTTAGGAAACTGCATTTGCCCTCGATCCTCTTTGGTAGCTCTTTTAATTTCCTGGAGATCGCTTTGGGGGGTGCGGTTTGTGGTGCCAACAGCTTCAGAATGGGGCTGGCCTTGGGCGTTACTTGGGTGTTCTTCCCAATCCCCATGTCCTTCTTCACCTCTTGCAGGCGCTTGTAGACGGGCGTGCCCGGTAGATAGTCGTTCTCCAGTTCTTCCAGCATATCCAGTTCACGGGCTCTACTCACAATCGCATCCGTCTCCTTTTCGTCCTCGTAGCCAATGTTTGGCTTGAACAGCCGTCGTCGTGTTGTAGCTTGGACTGTGGATGTTGCGGTGGCGGTTTTGGTTCCGGTTGCGGTTGCGGATTCGATGTCAGCGGTTGCTTCTATTGGCGTTGCAGGGAGCCTGGCTTTCGTACCAGTCACTGGCTGTGTGAGTGTGTGTGTTTGGGCAGAGTAAACTACAAATAATTTGATTTACGAGACGATGAAAACTATTTGTTTTCAATCAATCCGCGTAACTGTCGTGTTCGGGGATGTTATCGATATATAATTTTTGATGATATATATTTTTGGAAACAAAAATATAGACATATATGTGGGGATATATCATCGACGTAACTACTTTTCCGATTTCGAAGTTGACACTATTTTTCTTTTGTCTCATTTCGTTGGATCGGATGCACCCGAGACTTTTGATTCTACTTGTCGGATGTACATACAAAATATCGGTATTTTTGTGCGATAGGCGAAAAGAAATCGACGATAGCACATCTGTATATTCAAATATCTTCAAGATGTATTCATATGTGGAGATTTTAATGCTCGTAATAGTGTATTCGGTGATAGTATGACCAATTCCAAAGGTCGTTTCATAGAAGATGTTTCCTTAAATGCTGGTTTCAAGTGGTTGAATGATGGGAGCTTAACCTTTAAACAGTCTCTAAATCTAATGTCGGGTTCCGTTTTGGATTTGACTTTTACCAACTTTGATTTGCTTTTCGACTGGCATATCCGTCCGCTAAGGATTGGTGGCAGCCATAATTTTCCTATATCAATTACAATCCAGAATATCAAAATAAAACCAAAGTTCTTTCTGTCTAAAGTAAAGTTATTTTAAAAACTGAACAACATTAGAGAGTTTCAGAACATCAATGATATAACAAACAAGGTGAAAAATGAAATTAGGTCATGCACTCACATATTAGAGAAAAGGTCTCCAAAGTTCTGGTGGACTGACGAACTTACACGTTTAAATAGAATTTTTAAGTCTACGCAAGCTAAAGCTATCAAATATCCAAATGCAGAGAACTTTGAAGCGGCCAGCCAAGCACGACTAGAATGGAAAAATGCTGTGAAAAAAGCAAAGAGAAACTCTAATCAGGATAAAATTGAAGAGATTAATCAGAGTCCTTCGTCTGGGAAACCTTGGCAATTTTTGAGGAATCTTAAAGGTCTAGGGAAACCTCAGATGCAAGAGTGGTCTCCATCCAATAACAGGGACTATTTAGACTTTCTGAGCAGTCAAATTCCACAAACAGAGTTAACTGCAACTTTTCCTAATAACATGGCTAACTCGCAGAGTACACAAACATTTTCTATGAAGGAATTAAGTGAGGTTATTAGAAATAAAAGATCAACGGCTGGTGGCATTGATGGGATCACATATGAAATGCTAGCATCTCTTTCGGAAGAGGTAATACAAAAACTATTGTCTTGTTTTAATGAGTCATATGATAGCTGCCAATTTCCAAATGCGTGGCGTAGCATTAAGATTTGTCCGATTCCAAAATGTGGTAAACCACTAGATGACATCAAAAACTTCAGACCAATATCGCTAATCTCAGTTCTTGCGAAATCTGTAAACGGCATGGTTAAAAATAGATTGTCTGAGTTTGTGGAAAAGAACAAGTTACTGCCCTTTAGGTGTTATGCTTATAGGAAAAAGAAAAGTGTTTCCATGTGTATTAACGATCTTTTGTCAACCATTCACTGCCTCAAACGGCAAAATAAGAAAATAGTAGTTGCTTGCCTTGACATAGAAAATGCATATAACTGTGTAAATGTGGCGTTCCTAAAAAAAATCATGTTGTGGATAAAAGTTCCTAACCAAATTATACTATGGATTCTAAATTTCTTGTCAGTAAGGTTTTTGCATTTAGGTGCGGAGACTGAGAAGGTTACAAATGGTCTGCCACAGGGAAGCTGTCTGTCGCCAGTTCTTTTTAATCTGTATACTCTTCGGTTACATCAAATTGAGGACAACGACACCAAGATTTTTCAATTTGCTGATGATTTCATAATCTTGTCAGCCAAATCCACTTTTTGTGAGGCTGCAATAAATTTACAAGGCAAGATCGACAGTTTTCAGCTCCTTTGTGGAGATCTAAGACTCAACCTGAATCCAACTAAGTGTTCGGTTATGGCTATGACACCATTCAAAACGAGAAGGAACGTGTGAGTCGTTTCTGGGGACACGACTCTACTTATACCCGTACTCAGTCAGTATATAAATTTTTGAGCTTATGATTTTTTAGAATTTTAGAATTTAAAAAAAAATTTAACATTTTACATTTTTTTGCTACATCTGTTATCTACATCTACATATATTATGTACATATATTCTACATCTAACATGTAGATTATACATGTACCATTTATATTCTACATCTCCTCCGCTAGGGGTTGCTCGCGCACTGAACGCGGCAGAGTGTGCCAGCGAGATGGAAAATGAGTTGCGTTGTCGTTGGCTGGAGGGGGCAGGGGAAGCATCTGAAAATTAATTTCTTCATTCTGGCTATCATTATGAATCTGATTCAGATTCGGCAGTCTGGTAGATATGGGCATTCTCTACGATACTGCGTTTTTAGTTTTATCGTATCTTTAAAAATGTGCCTGCCACAGATTTTCGTCTTTTGTGTGGGCGGAAGGGGGCGGGGCGAAATTTAGAAATACACTTGTAGCAGTGGGATATCACATGAGTCTGGAAATCAAATTTGGTTGCCCTAGCTCTTATAGTGTCTGAGATCCAGGCGCTCATCGAGACAGACAGACAGACAGATAGACAGACAGATAGACAGACGGACAGACAGACATTGCTATATCGACTCGGCTATTGATGCTGATCAAGAATATATATACTTTATGGGGTCGGAAACGTTTCCTTCTCTGCATTACACATATCCACTTTTACCACAAATCTAATATACCCCTTAACTCTTTTTTGAGTACGGGTATAAAAATAAGGAAAGAATCTGGGTCTGCCATGAAACTGTTGCAAATGGCCACCAATATTAAGAGTGGCCTAGGACCTCAAGTTGCCACAAATATATACAAAGCACACATTAGATCAAAAGCTGAATATGCGTCGACCACCAAGGCAAACCTAAATAAAGGTAACTTTGGGAAACTTTTTTGGCAGCCGCCAGGCCGGCGCTTTGGGGGTACGGCCGATACTCCAAAGCATGTGATTTTTGCGTTGGTGGGTGAAATGCCCCCAAACTTCAGAGCAATGTGTTTAACTGCCAAAGAGCTTTTGAGATTAAAGACTACACGATCTTTACAATAGTTACTCCAGCTCTCATCAGTAAATGTTCACGTAGTAGCAAACAAGTTTAGGGATATTTTTGAAATGACCAAACCAGCAGTGACTTTCACTGCAAATAAAAGACTACATCTATATAGTAACCCCTTTAATATAAACAAACTAAATGTACCTAAAGAACAAATTCTTGTTATGTATTATGAAATTCTCCACAATCTCAAGGAAACAAAGTACCATATCTTTGCAAGTGATGCCTCAATATGTGATAGTAAAGTGGGTATGGGTATTATTGATGTAAACGGAAAAAAGACTTATAGATTTAAATCAGAGATACAAATTTCGTCTGCTATGTCTGAATTATTTACAATTAACATGACCTGTCTCATTGCCAAGCAATTAAGACTAACTAAAGTAGCTATATTTACGGATAGTTTAGCAGCTATATATATGTTAAAAAATGCAGAATCAGATGCCTATCCAGTGGCAAATATTCACAACTTACTGGTATGGCCAGAATTAATCTCTGTGGACATCTACTGGATGCCAGGTCATATGGGTATCCCAATAAACGAACAAGCGGATGAAGCTGCAAAATCTGCCATCTCAAATGGGGTGTTTGTTAGGCTGAACTATACGTTAGGTGAAGCATGTCGAGAGGTCAAGAAAAGAGTTTTCGCCGTATGGAATGACTACTACAAGGAGGCTTCCTCATTGTCTGGTGGTTTTTTCTTTGATTTATTTCCAAATGTTCCAATTGAACCCTGGCACAAGAAGGTAAGATGGAACGCTCAGGATATGAGACTCCTGAATCGACTCATGATAAATCATACGTATGACAACGTTTTTTTTTTAAAAATGCAAAATAGTTAGTTGTGACCTATGTCCAACATGTAACGTAAGTGAATCTGCAAATCACCTGATTTTCAACTGCACAAGGCTCATGCCCCTAAGGCGTAAATTTAAAATGTTTAAGTATTTGTTTAAAGCAAATATCCTTCTACATATGAGGGAACTCGCGAAATTTGTAAGAGAAGCTAAATTAGACTTTTAATCTCGCGTCGTTAAAACACATCGAATGTAATTGTGTATATAACATATCAACTTAGTTTCTTGGCTTGAAGTTTTCTTTTGGCCAATTACTCTCTTTGAGAAAAATACAAATACAAATACGTGGCTATGGCACAGGAGCACCGTACCGCTCTGGGGCTGGGAGCAATTGTTCTGTTCTCGATCCTTATTTTAATTATGGTGCTTACGCCAAATAAAGCTCAGCGTGCCGCTCCTCCTGCTTAGCCGGAAGTCAACCACGGACCGATGACTGATGAACAACGAGAGCCTACTCAACTCCTCCTCTAGTCTCCTGCTAGATTAGGTTAAGGAACTAATCATCTAATCATCTAATGTCAGTGTGGCGATTGACGCCACATTCTCGTTATCCTTTTTATGCTCACCGCCCTTCTGCTTGGCATATGCCGCACTCAAAAGGCTCATGACCGCCTTATGTGGTACATTGGCCTGCTTGTACTTCTTAAACTTATCCTTTACAAACTTAGCAAAGCCCTTGGCCTCGCCCGCCGGCTTCGACTCGGTATTGCCAAACTTGTCCTTTTTGTTTAGCAGCAGAACGACGGGGCCGCGACATATGCGACAGCGGAGATTCTTCACCTTGCGAGATCTGGAGTGAGAGCTGCAAGAGGCGCGAAGAATGAGGGGGAATGAGGGGAGTGTGGGGTAAGGAGACAACAACCAGAGAATAAACCACAAAAAACTTACTCAAGATTGCAGCTCTCACATTTGTGCGTGTACTTATAATCAATGCTGTAGCTGTGGCAGACAGTGATGGCGGGCAGCTCTGGATACTTTTTGTTGGCGCAAAGGGCCCAGTTCTTCCACAAACGGCCGTGTCCACCCTCGTTGTTGAGCACCCAGGTGGCGGTATGGCACAGCTCGTGGATGAGCGTACATCGGAGTCTGTCAGCTGTGGACAGCACCTCTTCGCTGAGCTCGATCGTGCTGATGCGTTTGGCGAGCTTACACTAGAAGAGGAAACGAAATAAACGATTAGAGGAAGCTCGTTGATTATGTGTTGTGGGACACGAACTTTCTCTTATTCAGGCATCATCCAGCCGTGTTGCGCAGCCGCTTCGACCATGTGATTGTCACGTCCAGCTCATTGTTGAACACGTCCGCATTGAACATCTTATAGAGTCGCTCGGCCAGCTGTTCCTTGTTCTTGGCAGAGTTCTCCCGATAGAAGAGGGCCTCCTTGTCGCTGCACTCGCGGCTGACCTCTCCCTCCGGCGATTTTAGGAAACTGCATTTGCCCTCGATCCTCTTTGGTAGCTCTTTTAATTTCCTGGAGATCGCTTTAGGGGGTGCGGTTTGTGGTGCCAACAGCTTCAGAATGGGGCTGGCCTTGGCCGTTACTTGGGTGTTCATCCCAATCCCCATGTCCTTCTTCACCTCTTGCAGGCGCTTGTAGACGGGCGTGCCCGGTAGATAGTCGTTCTCCAGTTCCTCCAGCATATCCAGTTCACGGACTCTACTCACAATGTTTGGCTTGAACAGCCGACGTCGTGTTGTAGCTTGGACTGTGGATGTTGCGGTGGCGGTTTTGGTTTCGGTTCCGGTTGCGGATTCGATGTCAGCGGTTGCTTCTATTGGCGTTGCAGGGAGCCTGGCTTTCGTACCAGTCACTGGCTGTGTGAGTGTGTGTGTGTGGGCAGAGTAAACTACAAATAATTTGATTTACGAGACGATGAAAACTATTTGTTTTCAATCAATCCGCGTAACTGACGTGTTCGGGGATGTTATCGATATATAGTTTTTGATGATATATATTTTTGGAAACAAAAATATAGACATATATGTGGGGATATATCATCGACGTAACTACTTTTCCGATTTCGAAGTTGACACTATTTTGTCGGATGTACATACAAAATATCGGTATTGTTGTGCGATAGGCGAAACGAAATCGACGGTAACACATCTGTATATTCAAATAAGACAGCATCCTGTTTTTTTATTGTTTTGAAATCTGAATCCAAAACACAAAAGATGGAATCATTGTTCGGTATAAACAGTGATGGTGTAAGCGTTGGTTGCATATGAAAAATTGGTTTCCTTTTACAATTGTCTTAATATGATATAAGTTAACTCCAAAAGAGTTCAACGACACACAAACCATAAATCAAAAGAAGCACAATAGTTTGTTGCCCTGCCACTTGCAATAACATTGCGCAAGAAAAATATCAAAAAGTAAAATTCCATTTCCTGCCCGAACATGCGCCGAGACTTGAACTTCTCAAGAACCGCTCATTTCGGATCATCATCGCCCCACCCCGTCGTTGACACAGCGACAATGCTGACAGTGCGTCTGCACAGAGTCGGTTCTCCCGAAACCCCACTGCCGCTGCCAACATTCCGCCGCGTCGAATAATAGGTTACGTTAAGATTTTGTACGCTAGCTTAAGTCAGTTGATAAATTTGATTCGAATAAATAACTACATTTGCTCAAATAAAAAGAATTTTTCCTTTTGTTAAAAGGACAAAATTAACTGGCGCCCGAACAGGGACATGACTAGTGAACAATACAACAAAAAGTTTAGTACGTTCGCGAAAACTGCAACAACTTGCAGCCGTCGGTCTCGAAACGCAAAATACCGGTTCAACTCGCAACAATACTTCGTTATATTGCCCGGTATAGTCCATTGGTGGACTACCATTCCTGAAAGAGTTCCGTACTCAGGAAAGCCAACAACAAGGAGTGAATCTCAGGAATCTGAGTAGGTTTATAGCATCCAAAAAGGACCAATTCCGGATCACCCGTTGGAGGAGCCACATCTCAACGATGTTAAGGTAAGTAAGGTGATAAGAAAACAAAGTGAATACGAAAATTCTAGGAAAACTTCTGCCAGACAGGAAAAGAAACACAAAACTGAACAATTTAAACATAAGACAAGAAAGAAACAAATTTCGAGTATTCATATCTCATTAAATAATATTAAAACATTTTACAATGGCAAACCCCGACAACTTCATCAGACCAGCCGTTCTGGCCCATGATCCAAATAGACATCCAAAATAACAATAGAGAAGAAGTTACGCAGATGGTAACTACCTTAGTGACTACAATACTAGAACAGTCGTTACCAGGACTAATTAAAAATATAATCAATCCAAACGCTGACTTTCTCAACGTTGCTGATCAAGTTATTAATCCAGCTTTTGGAGGGAATTTGAACGATTTAGATAGAATCCCAGACATAGTAAAGTGTATTCCAGAATTTTCCGGTAATCCAGCCGAATTTAGCTACTAGAAAAAAGGAGTAGATAGAATTCTAACAACGTATGTCGCTCAAGAAGGAACTCCAAAACATTTTGGGATCATTCATTCCATTCGTAACAAAATTGTTGGGAACGCTGATACGGCATTAGAATCCTACAATGTTCCACTCAATTGGAATGCGACTTCCAAGTGCCTAACCCTTCACTATGGTGACAAAAGAGATCTGGGTACACTAGAATACCAGATGACTACAATAGTTCAGGGCAACCAATCAGTAGAAGAATTTCATCAGGTCGTTTATAAACAATTATCTCTGATTCTCAACAAAATAGGTTGCATGGAATTAGGTAGAGAAGCTGAACAATTAATGACAAAATTATACCGAGATAAAGCACTAGATACTTTCATAAGAGGACTACGGGGAGATCTCCCTCGACTTCTAGGAATGCGGAAACCAGTAGACCTCCCATCGGCACTACACCTGTGTCTTAAACTAAAAATCAAAATTTCCGCGCTGTTCATGCTAATAACAAAACCCCAATTTCAGGATTTAGAGGATCAAATCAAAAACCGATCCCAGCACCAAGATCAAATTTCAATTATAACAAACAACAACCTCAATACAATCAATATCAATATAATCAGTTTAAGCCCCCAATTCCACCACGTCAAAATTACAATTACCAACCTCCACAATTCGCGCAGAATTATTCTCGACAACAAGTCCCTCAGAATAACATTCCAAATCGCCCAATCGCACCTAAGCCGCAACCGAAACCAGAACCAATGGACATAGATCCAAGTATCCGTACTAGGAATGTAAATTACATGAATCGTCCGCAGTTCGAAGTAGGGAAAAGTAGGGAGTAGGGAAGTAGGGAGCGTATGACTGAGCTGCACCTACTCCTACTGAGTTTGCAAAGCTCATCGGTGCGCTTCCTAATAATGTTAGGCCATGTTTGCCGAGTTATGCGACATAGTGGCACAGTTTGCCATCTGTCATTTATTAATCGCTTAAAATGTTCTTTTATTTTGAGCTTGCAGGTGGCCATTGGCATACGAATATCCTCCTTATCTTGGAGAAGGGGGATTGTTGTACCAGCTCTGGCCAGCTCGTCCGCTATGCAGTTGCCTTCAATGTCCTGGTGGCCCGGGACCCATATTAGGCTGATGACGAACTGATAAGCCATCTAATGAACAGATTTGCGACAGTTTGCCACGGTAGCCGAACTTGTTGTTATCGCATTCAGCGATTTGATCGCAGCTTGGCTGTCACTATAGATATTTATGTGAGTTGCCGCAGGGGCTAGTTCCTGAAGACAGCTCAAAGCTTCCTTGATCGCTATGACTTCCGCTTGGAAGACACTGCAGTGATCCGGGAGCCTGAAGGATTGTCTTATGTTCAGCTGTTCGGAGTAGATTCCTCCTCCGACCTTGTTGTCCAGCTTTGAGCCATCAGTAAAGATTCGAATGGCTCCCTTTGGACCAGGTGGTCCCTCAAGCCAGTTGTTTCTGTGAGGGATGATTGTTTCGAAGGGGGTATCTGTATACTCCCTCGGAACGCAGTAGTCCGTTTTTGTGGAGACGATTTTGCTTCCATTTAGGATGGACGCATGACCGGTGTAATGTGACACCCATTGGTCAGAGTCTCTAAGACGGATTGCTGCCATTTCTGCCTGCTCCTTACCTGCAAGGTCAAGGCTCTGCAGGCATAGGATAGCATTTAGCGCATCCGTTGGTGTGGTGCTCAGAGCTCCACTGATGCATAGGGCTGCAGTACGCTGCACCTTGCCCAGTTGTTTAGTGATGGTCCCCTTTGATAGGGCAGGCCACCACACTGCGACTCCGTAGAGCAGTATTGGTCTTACTATTGCTAGGTAAATCCATTGGACTATTCTTGGGTTCATGCCCCATTTTAGCCCAATGGCCTTCTTGCAAGTGTAGAACGCTACGATGGCAGAATACGAACAATTAAAAACAGACTACGAGAATGAAAACAACTTCGAACAGAGTTTTGAAGAATACTTGCAAGAACCAGGTGACGATAACGTAAATGCAAATCCAGAACAATATGATCTTCATTTTTTAGTATAAAAAACTCCTCATTGCCTTACATCGAATGTAAACTGAGGAGTGGGAAAATTCTAAATGTATTAATAGATACAGCTATATTCAACCCAAACACGTCAATAACCCCACCTTAAATGAAAAACCATTTAATGCAGTAACCGTTAGTGGTAGTATTAGAATAACCCACTACAAAATGGCCAATCTTTTTAATATACCAGGTACTAATGTACAATTTTTCCTTTTACCAACTTTAAGAACATTTGACGCCATACTAGGAAATGACTATCTAAAAGAATTAGAAGCAGTCATTGATACCAATAAATAAATAATAAAAATAAAAAATGGAAACACCATTCCCATAAAAGAAAAACATTTCGAAGCCGTCAATATTATGTTCGATAGAACCGAACATTTGACGATAACCCAAAAATTAAAATTAGAAAAGCTTTTCAGAACTTATTCCAATTTATTCGCGATTCCAAACAAAACGAGAAGGAACGTTTGAGTCGCTTCTGGGGACGCGACTCTACTTATACCCGTACTCAGTCAGTATATACATTTTTGAGCTTATGATTTCTTAAAATTAAAAAAAAAAAAATTTTACATATTACATTTTTTTGCTACATCTGTTATCTACATCTACAATGTATATTCCACATCTAACATGTAGATTGTACATGTACCATTTAGATTCTACATCTCCTCCGCTAGGGGTTGCTCGCGCACTGAACGTGGCAGAGTGTGCGAGCGAGAAAGGAATCAGTTGCATGAATTTCTTCATTCTGGCTACAATTATGATTCGATCTGATTCAGATTCGGCAGTCTGGTAGATATGGACATTCTCTACGATACTGCGTTTTCAGTTTCAGTTTTTATCGTATCTTTAAAATTGTGTCTGCCACAGATTTTCGTCCTTTGCGGGGGCGGAAGGGCGCTGGGCGAAATTCTGAAATACACTTGTAGCAGTGTGATATCACATAAGTCTGGAAACCAAATTTGGTTTCTTTAGCTCTTATAGTCTTTGAGATCTAGGCGCTCATCGAGACGGACAGACGGACAGACAGACAGACAGACAGACAGACAGACAGACAGACAGACGGGGGCAGACAGACTTGGCTCTATCGACTCGGCTATTGATGCTGATCAAGAATATATATACTTTATGTGGTCGGAAACGTTTCCTTCTCTGCGTTACACACATCCACTTTTACCACAAATTTTACATACCCCTTAACTCTTTTTTGAGTACGGGTATAAAAATAGCAAATTAAACCTTTGGCATTGCGGTTGGCTTTTTGGATATCCTGTGAGATGCAGCAGGGACGGGGACGCAATGACCTTGAGGAGCGACGCCGAAGGGCAGAGTTGCGCATCAACTACGGCAATGCCCCGTCCGCCATGAACATGCGCGGCTCCAGGTCCACGGTGAAGATCCAAACACCCGGCACCGACATCGTGATGAGACATCGCATCGCCAATCCCATTAGCGGAATGGACCGCGGTCTGCCGATGTACAGCGGCTACGGCTACCATCTGGACAGACGCTTTCTCTCGCCCTCGCACATGAAGCCGATTGGTCCCGGACAGATGCCCCTGGACTTGTCATTGCCCGTGGGCGGGCGAGATCGGGATCGATTTGAGACCATCGTCTGTGAGGCACTGCCAAAGACGCCGCCCCGCAACAAGTATCCCATCATCCAGAAGCTCAAGTCCAAGCTAAAGTCCAAGCCGAAGCGCGAGCCCAAGGACCAGAGCAAGGCCTAGAGAAGAACAGCACAAGAAGAAAATACCTGAAGACCGCCAAGAAGTCGCCAAGAAAAGAAATGCAATCCAATAAACCAATAAAAGCCTCCACTGGAAAAATCAAAAAGCAGTTTAATTTTCAGAGGTTTTCCTCCGCTCATCAGATCAGAGCAGAGCAGAGCGGGGAGTGTTCTGAATATGGGAATATGTATTAAAGGTATTATAGGTAGATAATTTCACACTCTCTATGAGTTGTTTTAGAGCTTTTCTGTGCTGCTTTCTGAGGCATATGAGTGAAATACAGTCAATGGAACACCTTCAGGCGTAACTATCAGAAGTTGCTGAGACTTCGAAGTCAGAAGTGTGGCGTTTTGCTGCTTTCAATTTGAAAGAAAATACAAAAAATTCTACCAAAACATAAAATGACAAAAATCAATAGATTTTGAATGTGTTTTACTTGCTTGGAAATGTATTTCATCTAGTTAGCATTTACTTTTCTGTTCGTATCGTTTGATTTGAGGCTGGGCAATATTTCATTCTCACACTTGTTTTCGACCTGTACGTACGGTAGTTTTTATTTTATTTTTTTTTATTTGACTTAGCGTAAACCAAATTTTTAGCTCTTTTTTTTTTGACTTAGCGTAAACCAAATTTTTAGCTCTTTTTTTTTTTAAATTTAAGTCAGACTGCCTTGCAATTTCCATCCTCCGATCATGGCAGCAGCCCGATCGCCACTGAAGACGCCACTGGCTCGGCCAGTGCCCAACAAGAAGGCATTAGAAGGCAGCACCAGTAGCAATGGGGAGACCGGCGAACTGGTCGCTCAGATCGGTCTGGCACATGGCCAGCGCAGGGGGTGTTGTGCACCTCAAAACAGCTTCGTGAACCTGATGGTTTCGGATGCCAAGGCCGAGGTGCCCCGACGGAGCGACGATTCCTATCCACACAGAAGCACGAACAGTCGTGCCACCCATATCAATGCAAATCAGATGTCTGCTGCCGCGAGCTGGAGCGAACTTTCCTGGGACCAAGGGGACGTGGAGGCGTTAAACGATAGCTACCAGCTGCTGAACGAGACGGTCGTTGGCAGTGAGACGGCCAGACCCAGCCGAAAAGAGGCCACGACAAAGCAGCTGGGGCCTTCGGAGTCCTCCACTGCTGAAAAGGAGCCCAAGAAGAAAACGGCACCGATAAATATACATCTGAAAAGGGAGATAGAGACACTGAGAAGGAAGAACGAGCAGATGCAGGCCAAAATACGGGCCGTTAGCAATCCGGTGGACCGCACTGAAGGAGGGGGCCCGCCAACGGCACCAACAATCAAGACCAACTGGAGCAGGTACTGGACGTCATGCGACAGCCTGACATCCATCAGTCCCTCCATGCAGCCTTGCTACTGTGTCAACTGCAAGCGCAAGCAGAACCGGCAGACCGTCAGCCAGGTCGTTGAGCACGTTTCGAGAGTAACGCCTCGTCTCAGGTTTCAGAGTTTCGGCCGCTTCTCGAACGCCAACGGGCTGCCAACGATGCCCTGCTTGAGCTCCGATGCTACCGCAACGCCGTCGATGGGGTCCTGCTTGAGCCTCAATGACACCGCAACGCCGTCGATGAAGTCCTGCCTGAGTCCCCCTATCCTCTCGGCCCAGTCGACGCACTCGATGGTGACATGCCTGACCTCCGATGGCCACCCGATGGAACCTGAAATACCCGAAAACGGAATTCCCGACCCTGGATGGACTTCGCCGATGGTGGTGACAGCCATATCCTCGCTGCCCATTCCTCCACAGGTGCCATGCGGCACACAGACAGAGGAACAGCCAACGACAAGTGCCCGTGGGCCTCGGTTCAAGACCGAGAAGCGGAGGACACGTTTGGCCAGGGGACGGGCAAAGTCTGCCAGAAAGCTCAGAGCGGCCCTGAATGTAATGGACGCTAATTTTGACAGCCATATCCTCGCTGCCAATTGCCCCACAGGTGCCATGCGGCACCCAGAAAGGGGAGCAGCCATCCACAAGTGCCCGTGGGCCTCGGTTAAAGACCAAGAAGCGGAAAAAGTCATCCAGAAAGCTCAGCGCGGCACCGCACTTGTTCAAGAAAATTCTGGTGGGGACGGTGGTGGGATTCCTGTTCGTCGGGATGATTATTGCACTGTTCTTTACGGATGTGCCATGAGAAATTAGAAATTGAGAATTAAACAAAATTTTACATTTACATTTTGCTACATCTTTTATCTACATCTACATATATTATGTATATTCTACATCTAACATGTGGATTATACATGTACCATTTAGATTCTACATCTCCTCCGCTACGGGTTGCTCGCGCACTGAACGCGGTAAAGTGCGCGAACGAGAAGGAAAATGAGTTGCGTTGTCGTTTGTCGGAGGGGGCGGGACAAAATTTTGAAATACACTTGTAGCAGTGGGATATCACATGAGTCTGGAAACCAAATTTGGTGGCCCTAGCTCTTATAGTCTCTGAGATCTAGGCGCTCATCGAGACAGACAGACAGACAGACAGACGGACAGACAGACATGGCTACATCGACTCGGCTATTGATGCTGATCAAGAATATATATACTTTATGGGGTCGCAAACGTTTCCTTCTCTGCGTTACACACATCCACTTTTACCACAAATCTAATATACCCCTTAATTCTTTTTTGAGTACGGGTATAAAAATATATAATTTACGTATGAAATATATTTAATTTCAATATTGACTTTTTAGATTTTGCTGGCCGCTCCTTTCTCTGGGATCCAGTGGAGAGGTGCAATATAAATAAGAAAATTAACAAAAGATGGAATGGATGCTGGGGAAGAGCAGAGAGTTGAGCAGAGGTCAACCAGGGCCAAGTAACCAAGTTTTATTTCCGTTTCGAGCAATTAAACTTATTTAACTTGGGCCACAGTGCACCCTGCGCCCTGCCATTACTGCAACTGCCCCCCAAGTGAAACTTCTTGTTTAAGTAGACTTTCGTTGATGGGAGCTCCATGGGCCTGCCTCGGGGGCAAGTGCTGCACGCGGTCAGGACTGCGCCTGTCCAATGGTAAGTATATCTTATTATCAGTAGTTGCCACACAGTATAACAAAACATTGGCAAAAAGAGCACACCACCAAGCAGCCACAGCTACAGCCTATGACCATGCCCATGCCCCTGGCACAGCCCTGCAAGCGGCAACAGCCGCCGATAACTTTGGCCATAATTCATCAGTTGTGAGCGCTGTAAAGTCCTTTCAACTGCTGCTCAGTTGCCAAATATGGTTTTTGTGCTTGCCTTTGCAACTATATAAGCATTTGGATGGGTGGGGGGTCTCTGCTCTCCTATGCTGTGGGGTCAGCGGTGGGGCGGAACGGGGGCTGGCGCTGCGCCTGGTCTTTATAAGTTTATATTTCTGTCTTTCCCATGTCTAAATATGATACATGCCCTTGCCACAAGTTGGTAGTTGCCAGTGCCAGTGGCAGTGGCAAGTGCAGCAACCTACTGCATACAGCCTACCGGCTACCCCCCCACAGCCATCCCTCACTAATATTCTTCTGTTCTAGATGACTGCCGCCGCTGTTCAGCTTGTTTCAATTTTTCTAGCAAAGTTGATGCCGGGAAACAGATTGTTTCCAGCAAACTGCAGCAGCAGCAGCGGCAACAACAGGAGCAACGGAAAAAGTGCCAACAGTGCACAATTTTCCTTAGCAGTTTGAACTTCTTGCCATCCAGTAGTAGTAGCCCACCCCCACCTGGTTGCATCATACTCTGTGTGATCTGGTGGCGCCACCCGCCACTCGCCTACTGGGGGCACGCACTCGTATCTGCTGATGGTGTAAATTTCTTAAAGTTGGCAACTTCTGCATTGTTTTTGTCCCCGCCTAAGTTCCGTTTCTCGCAGCTCAATTTTTGCTTTTCATTTTCGTTATTCTTAGTCTGCCGTCGCGCCGGATCCAGTGGCAGGCTGTTGCCGTTCCCCGTTCCCGTTCCCCTTCCCCTGCCCAGCACTGTTGCTGCTTCTGTTGTTTCTGTTGAGCCGTTTGTTGTTACTGCTTAACATTGTGGCAGCATTTTCGAGCATTATCCCAGCCCATGCAGTCGATGCAAGTTGTCCCCCACCCCAGTCCCTGCATATCTATGGATATGCCGCACCACAACCGTTTGTCTGTTCTTACTGGTACCCGCTGCCCTTCTGACTGCTGCCTGCCTGCCTGCCTGCCTGCCCTAGCACTGGCATAAATAATATTGCAGCTAAATTAGTTAATAAATCATTGGAAAACGCTTTCTAGGCGATGACTGAAGCATGGTGGTGGCTCCGCTCTTCTCTGCTCTGGTGTCTGTTCCGTTCACACGATTTGAATTGAGTTTTGGGGAGTGTTTGGGATCCTCGAACCTAGCCTCGTGCTCGTAATCGTACGCGGTGAATGCTTGACTGCGCAAAGGATGCTCTGCTCTGCTTTCTGCGCTTCCCAGCTCTGCTCTGCTATGCATCAAACTGTTCATTCGCACTTTACTGGCTGGTCAGTAAGGGCCGGTAATTATCGGCTCGATTAAACCTGGATAGTGCAACTGCACTGTCCAATCGAGTCCACAGCCCACTTGCCCAGAGACAGGTAAACCTGTAAATTTGTAAATGAGCCCTTCCTTGCCCTTGCCCTTCCCCATGGCCAGTGCTATTGCCCTTCCATGCACTGATGCGTGAATATTTGTCGATTTACATTGAAAAATCGTTTTTTAAACATGCACGGAGATCAATCGGCAAGCGGCCCTCCCATGCCAGCCGGCGTTGCATCGCTACCAATATCAACAGCCAGAGCCAGAGCCATCGCCAGTTCGCTTACATTGGCACGCTTTTGACGATTTTTGCCGCATTTGTATTGGTATTTGCATTTTTTTTAACTCGAATATACTCACTCTCAATCGTATTCGTACTCGTATTTGTAAAAAATATTTCACATTCAAACGGAATGGAAACGCATAAATGCAAACATTTGCTTACTTTTAATCCTTGCTCTGAATTCAATTGAGCTGCCGCTTCATTTTGGCATGCCCTGCCCAGCCCAGCCCAGCCCTGTCCTGCCATGGCAAAGAGCTATAAGTACTCGTTTTATTTGCATATGTATGTGTAATATATACCCCCCTATTTCGCCATTGGACACTCTCTCTCGTCCGGACTTGGTTTGAAGCCTTTCCTACCAATTTGGAAATATTTGGCTTGATTGTAAAGGGAGCTTTGAAACAACAGCGTAAGGCTGTGGTTCCAGGTCACCAGCTATGCCTGGAAATAATTATTACAATATTTCCATAATATGCATTTTTGTGCCAAATCAAAAGAATTGCATCAAAGGAAACTTTGTCATGCTGCTCGACAACGACGAGGACGACGAGGCACCCACTAAAACGATTTGCGGCTAAATAGATAACAAATATTTTGTCCTTACACAAATACGCATTTTTGTTCTTCGCTTCTCAAAAAAGTTTCAAGCCGCACACACACACACACCCGGCACCCCGGAGGCAAGGAGCGAAGATCCAGTGAAACATTTTTGCATACCCTTACAGCGGATATAACGCACAGAAGGAAGCACCTCATATCCGATATTAGCTGTCAGATTCCTCTCTATTTGCTGCAAGATCGGATCACAATGCCATATATTTTTCAGGTCAATAGATAGAGAAAAAAGAAAGTTATCTTCCCTTCGGGTATGGTAGTAAAAAAGGTAGCAGTGGGAAAGGGTATTAAATAAATCATTGTGAGCATTCTGCTATTCCCTTCTTGTTTAAGGTTCTAAAGGAATTTTTAATATTTTAATGTGCAGCATGGAGCAAGCTGCCGGTGAAGATGTAAGTAGACGAAGAATCAGGAAAGTCGGTAAGCCAAAAACTCATACTCACAGGCGTTCCCGGGTGTAGTGGAGCCCAATAAATGATGCGTGGAGTGCCCCATGGATGCTGCTGCTGCTGCTCGTGAATGGCGAGTCGTGAGTTGTCGTGGATCGTCTCTCACGTGGATGGACATTAGCAAGAGTCGGAAAAGCTGGAGAGGCCGGAGCCCGGCAAGGAATTACAGGGCACACTTTAGCACAGGTAAAATTATTTTGCAATAAATTTTGTGACATATTTCCATGAATGTGAAAAACGAAGAAAAAGAATAAACCTGTGGGTGTGGGTGGGGCTGTGGGTGGGCTGGGAGGAGCAATGGCAGACAGGTAACATCTGGGGGGTTGTTGCTGGTGGTTCTTCGACTTTGGAGATTGTCTGTCTGTGCGTGGCACACACCCACACACACAGACGGACACATATTAAATGCACATCAGTGTTACACAATGGCAACTTAAATTGTCTAAGAAAATGTCACCCGAAAAAGGGGATTTTTGACGTTTACTCGTAAAGTAAAAGCAAATAAAATGTACAGCAAAATCGCGCAGCAGGACCAGAACGAACACCAAGACTAGGATCCCGGTCGAGAAGTAAGTGGTGGGGGGGTGGCTAGCAGATTTGCTCGTGGCAACCTGGGACTGTGACTTTATGACAGTTTGATTTATATATTATTGAAAAAGTTTTTGTCACAGGCAGAACAATCAGTAGCCTGCACCGACAATCACGTACCCGATGCGAGACGAGGCGATGCTCGACACCAACACTGACAGCGACAGTGACACCCAAGCTCTAGCCGACTTATAGACTCCGACGATGCCTGGGACACGTTACGCATAGTAAGCCCATAAATAATTTTCATGCCCAAAAATGTTGTCTTTGAGCAGGAGCTGGCCCCAGCAGCCCAGCAATGAATTGAAATTCATTTTTAATGCGCTCTCGATGGCATCAGTATAAGTTACCAAAAGGAAGCTGCAGCTCACCGATCCCGTTGCCGTTGCCATTCCCTACCAATACCATGACACTGCTAAGTATCACTTACAGCAGCGTAAACCCCTAGTTCAATCTAAGAGTAAATGCCTGTGTGTTGGTGTGTGGCCTAGCCAAAGTTTTTGGCTGAGAGAGGATGCCTTCGCTCGTTAACAGTCGTTTCCCCACTTCCACTTCCACTTGCAGTCACCAAGTCGCTGTCTCGAGTTACTTTTTGGCATGGAAATTAATTAAAAAAGTTTTCAATCAGTCTTCGAATGTGTCAGTGGCGTGAAAAGGAGAGCTGGAGTAGGTATTTTCATTGATATGATGTGATGGCCAAGTGCGGACGCGAAACTTCCATAAATTACTCTACCA